AAGTTGGATTTATTAACGTCGACTGGAGAGAATTTTGCAAAGGAATCGTCGAGCTCTTAAATGAATACGGTACCAAATTTTCGTATTCATTGAAATCATGAAATTTCATTACCAGCTGAGCAAATACGTTTTCAAAGAAGACCCTGACGTTATGTAGTCAGTCCCTTTATGCAAAGGACGCATAGAAATGTATGTATTTAACACGAAAATGTGGAGATGAGCCCGTTTACCATATACTCGGCAGTTAAATGTTGTTGAGCGCACGCAAACAGCCGCGGGTGGGTTTTGCGTGTGAATTTCATCTGATTTAACACGCTGAAATAAATCCGTTTTGTCTGGTGGGAGACAACTGAACAGGACGTCTATCTGACTAGCATGAGCCCTGCGGCCGTGCGTTTCCCTGCTACCAGCTCTCAGCATCTTCCACAGCGATCCTCAAGGACTGGGACATTGAGGTTAAGATGGTTTATAAAATCTGGGTTGGGGAGCTTAGTGAAGGGAGTGCACTTGATGGACCAAGACGTGGATGTGAGGATGTTTTAGGGATGAGCAGTGCAGTAAAATAGCTGGGTAATGACGGGCTTATGATGGTGATGAAATGTCAGGTTTTATAACAACGTGGAAGATACTTAACTACTTTTGACTCCATGGGGAAGATTCTACACCAGGGAAATAATATATATATGACACTAGTATGGATGGTTGGGTTGTTCGTTCTGGGATGCCAAGGGAAGTCTTAACATGGAAATGGTGACTGATACTGGTACTCGTCTACGGCCCTCTAAGGTTCTTCTTTTCGACCTTTTCCTGGAAAGATGGAAGGAAGAATGAGTAAATGCGCAGAATTCTTGTCTTTCTATATTATCTTAAAACTTTGCATACTATGCAGTGTATTGATATATAAAATCATGCATACAAACAGAACTGTTTACACATTAAATAACACTTTGTACCAAACGCGATTCGACCTCAAGAGGCCATCATAAGTGGCAAAAAGAACATTAATTCATTAGTCTGTCTATTAAAATCATACAATTCGTGTTTTATAAAGTGCGACCTTTACATTGCTTTATAACAAACCATCGTATGAATTTACATTCACAAGAGATTTCGAGTGTAATGTGTTTTAAAAAAATATAAACTGAAAGGATTTTTACTGACCACCCTAATAATAAAACAAGAATGGAAAGTTGTACTCTTTAGAGTACACTGAATTTCCAAAGGTGTTCTTCACACCACATCGCGGGCGATGACGCTAGCATGTTAACCAAGGGAATAACAAATCAACAACGGTGTCAAAGATCATTGTTCCAATAATGTTATCCGATGTCATTGACAACAGTGATCTCGCTTCACATTATTGCTACCAGGATGGTGAAATTACGGATGTGTATTTGTAAATAATCGTTAATAGGTTGTGAAATATACATAGTCTGTCTGTAACGGTTAACTTAAAAGGATTAAAATTGTGCGAAAACGATTTAATATATTCAGTGACACATTCTTTTAATTTATAAATAAAACTAAACAAAGGAAAGAAAAATAATACACAGCAAAGCTGCTTTCGTGATCAGTTAGGGATAGCGAAATAAAAAAATACATTACAATTTAACGTCAGGTAGTCACTTCTTTGCATGTTTCTATTCCTCGTCATTTAAATGTGCTATTACAGTTTTGTAAAATACTTAACCGAACAATAATTTGATAGACAATAACGCCACTAATTGCCAGTCATTCCCCTTCACGTGTATCGCTTTGTCTACCTGCTATTATCCACCCTGAATCAGGGGATGTTTGCTGTGGTCACCCTGTGCAACACTCTATCCCTAATGGTGGATGTTCTCTCATGATCTGAGTCCTCCCTGCCCTGGTTTGTCACAAGCGGCTGAACCCTTTCGCTATCAGATGAAACTGTTTACATATCAGAGCAGTGTTCCTCGCATATTTCAAGGGAACGAATAGTCGATCAAATTTAAAATTTCCTGCCCTTCATCTATGCCGTAGAATGAGATAAGTATGAAAAACGACAGCTGGAGGAGAACAGAGGTTAAATGATTGATTGTTGAAACTATCGATTATGAGAGGGTTATATTATACGTACACTTGCATCGTGGAATAGGTGGGCGGAGATGAGAGGAAGGCATTTAGACCAAGGAGAACATGGGACAGCGATGTCGAAGAAGCTGTGGAACTTTTGTGACTTAGGAAGTCGGCTTGCCCGAACAGAGAACAGGAAACCAGAATTTGTGTGAGCCGTAATCCGACATTGGCATATACGTCAACAAATACCAGTATTATGAGTTGTAATTGCGTTGCAAAGGCCTGTGTTTTGCCGATCCACAGGTCTTGTATGTGCTACCTGAAAATACCCTAAACCCATTTAAACTAGTTTTTCATAGGCAAAACCTAACGCAACCTAATCTGTCAACACTGCCAACAGTGACAGGAGTTTCTAGTTCTGCCTAGGGTGTTTCTAATAACATGTATAAAGTCTTGTCCTTAGGTTACAAACTACAGTCTTACTTCTGCAAGAAGTTGTATGTGTGACGTATTGGAGTTCGTGTAGCCGCATTCGAATGTCGACCGGGATACCAGTTACATAACATATATTTTGATGTCGTTGTTTTACTCAGTTCTTGGGGCTATTGGGTAACATAGAAACTTCACACCGGCCACAATTAATTTATTTCTGAACTATAGTGTTTATTGTTTATTTATCGATGCTGTGAGTAGCTAAGACTGCATAGCGTCAAATTATAGGATGATTAATTATCAGTGAATAATTAATTGGAAGGAATATGGAAGGCGATCGTGGCCTAATGTAAGGTACCTTACCAGTTTTTACCTGGAGGGACTGAGGATGACCATCAAAACATCAGTCAATATACCCGGTCCTAAAGCCGAGATTTTAATCCGGGACATCCTGAATACGAATCGATAGTGCTAACCACTCGACATCTACGTTCGTTTCTTTCTGATCGTTTTAGTTTTTCGATAGACTTACAAAAATCATGTATTCTGATGATAAATCCCCCTTCAGTTGATACATATTTATTAAATAAGCTACCCACATACGCTTTTGACATGAAAGGCACGTATCATGGTAGATGTGTGTCCAGACCGAAATATTTATAGTAACAATGAGAGTTATCCATCACCGTCTCTCTAGTGGGGGACGGGTACAGGGCGAACATAAAGTGTGTACGAGTAGGTAAATGACAGACCAAAGCAAAATCATCGTCACGAGCGGCGAATTTCTTGATTAGTTGAGCGACTGGTCACTTTTGAAAGACTGTTTCGAGGAGTTGTGATTTTGATACTTATTACACTAAGTTAGTAGGAAGTAGTAAGAACGTACGTTTTGGATGTGGGTGTTGAAGAGAAAGATTTGGAGTTGAGAGAGAAGTAAAAAGAGGACAGAAGAAACTAACAACAATGAAGAGCTTTATAGCTTGCAGTCTTCGCCAAGTACTGCTAAGGTGATCAAATCGACGGGAACGAGATGGCGGGCCGTGGAAGAGGGATACATAAGAAATGTGTACAGAATATGAACCAGAAAACCTGAAGAGAGGAAACCAGTTTAGGGGGCCTATGCATAAAAGGAAGGTTAATATTGACATTTATCTAAGTTAAAATGTGAGGGTATGGACTGTATTCAGTTGGTACAGCGGTGGGCTGTTGTATATACGGCGATGAACCTTCAGGTACCATATAGGGTGATTTCGTCTTGACCAGCTTGTAGACTGTCAGCTTGACAAGTAAGACTCTGTCCTGACAGGAAGTTGTTACTCCTGCAAAGCACCGTCGCACAAGAAGTGTGACATGTCTCTCCAGCTGAAGGTGTGCAGAAGACTGTTGGATGGCGTAGCCAAACGCGACCACTGCGGTCATGTGCACATGTTTTACGCCTGTATTCGGGTATTTGGTTCTGTGCAGATGCAGTTTCATGGTAATGGATAGCAGAAGATAGCTTGAAGTAAAAGCTGGAGGCTTCAGAGATTGAAATGTGTGGGACACTCAAGTTTTCCCACCCGTTCCTAAAGCCAGTAGGCCTGCTATATTCAACTTAGGATATTTGCTGCTTGATATTACAATTTTATAAAACTTCGTGTCGAAAGTTTTATGTAGAGGACTACCATAACTGCTTACAATATTAAAGTCACTGCCACCTTTGTTGATAACATGTTCGTCGCCGGGCACCAGGCCTGGCTCAATGTGAAACCCCCGTTGAGCCATTGAGCCAGGCCTGGTACCCGGTGACGAACATGTTACCTAGTCGGAAAGTTGGTTTAAAAATAGCGGCACGTCACTCCGCACACTAGTCCCTATTGGTTAACGTGCGGCCATGAATATGGGACTGGGGCTGGTATATAAAGAGTACGGACAGGATCACCAATGAATCAGTGCTCTGAGGAGGAGGACTAAGATGTTTCTGAACACGTCGTTTTCTCCATTTAACCACTTGACTCGGCTGGTAGCCCGAGTAGAATTCATTATACTGCTTTTAGTAGGCCATTTTTAATAGCAGCTCTGTTTATTCTTCATTATCTGTCTCCTAAGTGATCTCTTCACCTTAGATAACCGGACAAAATATTGTCTGTTTGCTCTGCCTTCGGGATTGTGACGCCGTGTAGACTTGCAAGTAGATACCAATTGTTCGGAGGAAACTACTCTCTCCACTTTCAGGGCTGCAAGTCTGCAGTGCGTTACAACGGGAACACCAACACTAACCTTCACCGCCCTAGGATCATCAAATACTATGGCATATCTTCTATACGTTTTGAATGTCGCACTGATCTCAACATTCTTGATTTAGTGATCCTGGCAATTGTAAAGCTCCTGATTATGTAACTTCAGTCCTTCGTCACGTCCTCTCTCGTTGATCCATATATTCTGCACAGTTGTGTTGATTTGGTCTGATACGCCCTCTTCCCTCACACTTTGGTTGTCATATAAAAGATCCCCATTAAACACAGTGCTTTCCGTATTGTTTCTTGTAGGAGCATGTGATACGGCTGGCTGCTCGCATTCTCCATGAAGTCGATCTCGGTGGCAAGTTCTGGCCCCATTCTACAAGTCCGAGGACCGGAAGCCGCCGGTACAGTTCATTCTCAGGGATTCATGGTAAGCAAGCAGACCTTGACAATGGAGACTGCTTTTCACTGAAACTTTGGCGGCTTCTTATTACCTTCTCCTACTCAATAAATAGCCTGCGATTTTATTCGTGCTGGGCCACTTTTAAATATTTCCGACTTATTTAAATGTGCAAATTTTGTAGATTCAACTCCTGACTTGCGCGCCGGTTGTGGTCTGTGACAAGTGAAATGTCCGGCCCCGAATTTAAAGAAGTTATCTTTCATAAAATATCTTGATATGTTCTAGAAGTTATTGAAGTAAATTTTATGTGTAGTATTCTTAGACGACCGCATTGGATACAGATTGTTAGGCACATTACATTCCAGAGATGGGGCGGCAGTTAATCGGTAGAGCCGCCAACTAATCTTCTCGTCAAAGTTGAGTCCGAAAGTTTTTCTGTAAAGAATTGCAGAACGGTGGTCTGCATTAGTGTGGTTTGAAAGTATACAATTGTTTTGAAAGCTTTAATTCAACAGTTCTTTTTTAAAGAACAAGTAATAAAAACTTTTCAAACAGTGACGATTAAAAAAGAAATGTAATGTGGTGTTAGTTAAAGTGGTATACGTCAAGATGAACTGCAATAAAAGAAACCGGAATTTCGGGCAGTGAAGGGGCAGTAGAGGAACTCGCTCGCTGCGATAAGAGCGACAGGGGGACAGGGGCGGAGAGCCCAGGCCTGCACATGTGCCAACATCCACTGGTTGAACATCCGTCGTGTCTTTATTTAACTAGTCGGATTTCCGTTTTCTGTTTTCATTTCGCCCTTTTCCATTTCTTCGTCAAGTTCTTTGTTTGACTTGTGTTCGTCTTTACTTTTTCTTCTCTTTTCTCGGCCTTTCCTGTAGATGTCATCTTCCTTACTCAAGTCATTTCTTTGTAGTCTCTATAATGGTTGGTGTTGAACCATGGGATTGAGTTACCAGAGACTTTGAGGACTTTGTTATACCATAAATTCGTTATAAGCCCGTTCGAAAAGCCAAAAACTAAATGTGGGCAGGTGCCTGTTGTTTCCACCATCTTCTGTTAACTCGTGACGAGATCGCAAAGCCTCTGCCACATGGACGTGTAAGCCTTTATCAACGGACAAGTGACAGAATGGACGGCAGACGCGTCAGGGGATAAAAGAAATATTCCCAGATCACTACTGCAAGAAGTCGAAGTTGGCTTAGTGAGGAATTAAGCCACCTTACACGGCTGGTAGCCCGATAAGAATGTATTATACATAGTCCCCGTGAAAGCTTCAGATCATACAAATCGAACTACTGTCGTTCAGGTGGCGGCCACAGGATGCGAACTGATGTCTTTAATGTAAACCATAGGGCAGTGTTACTGTAAGGGCTGGCAGTTGCTGTCACCAAAACGGATGTTCAGTTCTTTTTCTGGTTTTAAAGTTTTGAACTTCAAAAGTAATATTTTAGCTTGAAACATAAGTCATGAATCATAAAGGAGTAGGAAGCAGATTTCTGTTCCACGGAATTTGTTAATGCACAGGACATGCGTTTCACTCTAGACAGTTATCTAGACGGATATGCACGCAAACGCACGCACAGAAGCTACAGCGCTATTCGGACCTTGGCCTCAACTGTTAACGTTACTTAAATCCTTAACATTGACCCTACTGTCCTATAGGACTCCTTGGATGGATGATCGGCTCGCTGTAACACCAGAACACACAACAGGAAAACGTGGATCTGATTTAAAAGCGCTATGTCAGCGTCTTGAACGGCCAGAGACCCCACGGCCGCTAGGATAAAGTTCAGATTATATATTTAACGAATAAGAAGCCATGACGTTTCAGTGAACGATTGGACTGGAGGAATACATTAGCCTGGTCAGAAGCTAAAACAGGTCTACCCTTGAGTGTAATTGCGGGTTTGTAAGCGAATTGCTTTGATTTGATTTCAAGTGCAATAACTTCCTCTTCCATTCAACTGCTTTCCGTCATGACGTGTACGAGAAATTAACTGCATGAAATCGAAATGAGAAACAGACACAAGCCACACATTCTGTGGTCTGATGCCAGTGTTTGTTGGTTTATGTTATGACGCCTTGTGTAGTGCATTGCTTGGAAATAGGGTTTATACAAAAACCGACTTTTGAAAAAACCGGTTAAACCGGTTTTAGAATTTTTACAAAAAAAATTAAAACATTAAAAAAATATTTATACTTATTTTAAATTTTTTCAGTTTATTTAATATTTATGGAAGTACAAAAATGTAACAAAATAAAATATACTCTATACAAAACCAAATAAAAAACTAAGATAACTAAAATCCGTACAAAATATGAATTATAAACTATGTCGGTTGTTAGATCCAAGTTAACAATTTGTAGTCTCTCAGAAACTAATTCTAATGTTTTCTTAGCATCGCAGGAACTAGCTATTGGAACTAAGCCCAAATTAAAATCTTCCGCAAAATGGTGCACGTTGATATTAAAATATCTGCGATTTCTTTTGCTAGTCCACTCATCTAAAGTTATAGAAAATGTTTTCCCATTCTTCTTAATACAACCCAATTCATTTATAATTTCACGTTTGGCATTGTCATAAAACGCATGAATGACATCCATTACTCGAGAGTTGTTGTTTGGTAATAAATATCCTCCTTTGTTGCAGAGACTCTCGTACGAACGTGCTTGTTGTAATGCTATTAATGGACAATCCATCCATTGCAGCACTTTTTGGTATAATTTCTTCTAAACTGCTCTTTTTCACGAAATTAAAAATAGAATGTGTTTGTGGATTTGCATGTCAAACATTCGCCTGACTCATGAAGATTAGTTTTACTACAATATGCTTGTGCCCGAGGTGATTTCAAGTCAAAATATTAACGTTTTTAATCAATTAATTAGCTAATTTTTCCATATTAATTCTAGTATCTGAAACCGGTTTTTTAAATTTTAAAAATCGGTTTTTCGATTTTTACAAATTTATCAAAAAAAAAACGGTTTTTAAAAACCGACAAACCCTACTTGGAAAGCCGTAGGAGTACGAAGTGTCTGTATTTCTGTTAGTAATTACACGAAGGATTGCTACACAGGAACAGATTACTTTTTGCTTCTAATTGTAGGGCCATTTCAATTTCGTTAAAATTTGGCAACAGTAACGGGCACTTTGCATGGAAATCTGTGTTGCAGTTTTGCTTACCGAAATGACTGGTTGCGGAATTCGGAGCCGGGAACTGCGTTGTAGGAAATCCCAAGCCATTTATTTTACAAGATCAGATTCTGGCGACCACTCCAAAATTGTTTTGCCGTGCTTACATTTCGTAACTTTTTTTATATATTTGTATTTCTTACCTTCATTATGCGTATCTCTTTTTCTTTAACCTTTTTGTTTCTTTTGTTTTCTTTCAATTGTAATTGCTCTTTCTTTATTTCCTTATTGTCTTGCTATCCTTCTGTCAGAAACAACAAAATAAATCTTGAAAGCGATGTATTTGTTTTCAAACCATTAACATTCTGTTACACGTTGCTGTAGTTAACTCGGTTTAGAAATCTGATCCTACAGTTCATTTCTTCAGTGTTGCCTGTGTGAAAATCTGGCCGGCCGGCCAGCCGACAAACGAAATATTGATCGCTGTGAACGCACGCTAGCTCAGCTAATCGCGTTATTCCGATTCAAAGCCAGATAGTGCCTCCAGGGTTGCTAACCCTTGAGACAAGCACTCTTAACTGGCGCACAGCCTTGCATTAAACTACACTAATGCGTTGCATTCCTGGTAGCCAGGCAAGGAAAATAGCTGATCCCAGACCACATGCACCAGTCATTCTTTGGCAGACCTCTGCTTAACGCAGCCTACACATCGTAACATAAAATTAGGTGGATGTAGGCGTACTGCAATTGGCTTAACGTTCTCCACATTCGTTCTCTGCTGTTTTGTACATCTCATTTCCGCTGGTGTTTACGAGGTTCATTGCAGATACTAAAAAAGTAGGTTGTCTTTACAAATTTTATGACCATATGATACGTCAGTGCGTCAAAGTCACACAGTATTTCCCCCTTGTATTACGTTAAATGCTTCACGACTTCAAATAAAAGTAATAGGCGAGATCTTGACGAGAACTGAATTCTGTGTCATGTACCAGTATTTTGTGCGATGAAGTTCAGTCTTGACTTCGAATGTAAAGTAGGAAGTGCTATAATGGAACGGTACACTGAGTAACCAACTCTATGGATCATCTCCCTGAAATCTTAATAGTTACTAAGGTAGTAGAGAACTTCCCAGCCTTATTTGTAACCTGAAAGTTTGTTACCATGTTCCTATTCAGTGCCAAATAAACACAGTACACATCTTCCGGTGTCACTTCTTTGAGGTTCACTTATTATCTTCCCACCCACACTTAAGTATTCCAAGTAGTCTTCATCTGATTTTCCAATATGTACTTTGAAAACATTTATCGTCTCTTCTATGCGTGCCCTGGCCGTCTTGTCCTCCGTGATTTAATCTCTTTGATGAAATTTGACGAATAGTGCAAAGCATGAAGCCGTTTATTATACACTAGTATTCACATTCCTCCTGATATTTATTTCCTCTTAGTTCCAAATATTATTATAAGCACTCTGTCCTCAACCCCTTCAGTTTATGTTCTTATTTTAATGTAGAAGACGATGTTTAATCCCCACAGAAAACACAAAATTGTATTCAAGTATATTTTAATCTTTAGGTTCTGCGATAGCAGACGGGAAGTCTAAATATTCTGAATTGCGTGATAGCAAGCATTCACCGGTTTTGTTTCGCTCTTAATTTATTTCTGAATATATCTTTGATTGGCTGCCGTCGTTCCCAAATACGTTTGCCACGTTGTGAAAGGTTTTATTAACTGTCTTCTTATAATTTTATATCATTATCATATGATTTTGTTCTGCGATGTGGTGATGAGATATGAACTTAATAGGATATACTTAACTGTTTAAAGCCATGTGTAACTGAAGGTACTACCTGCTTTAATAATCAATAACTCTGTCCAGTGTATTTATAGGTTTC